CAGTGCCTCAGTTTAATGTGCACTATTTCTGGCAGTCTGCAAAGGCCAAACAACAACAACAAGAACAAGATAGTATGGTTAACACCAGGAAGACCTGTCTGAAAAAGAAAGCATTTTGTAACTGGGCTACTGTTCCATGAATATCCTACCATAATGCAATATGACTAATTCAGTGTTGGTCTTTGTGTGCATACAAATATACAACCCTAAACACGCCCAGACTCATCTTCAGGGTAACCCATGGCCCTCAAGACGTTGCTGGTCTATAGTTCCCATCACCTTGGATCACTGCCTATGCTGTGTGGAGCTGAAGCTGGAGTTCAAAAATAATCTGGAAAGTAAGTTTGTCCATCCTGGGCTAAAATATATCAGATGGATTACTATCCTCTTTGAACACCCCAATTGCATCCTTTTATGTTCAAAAGAGTCGACTGCATGCCCATTTGCTTGCAGCTTTAGCATGCTAGCAGCACACCTGCTCAGCTTGCCAATTGATGACATGCTGATGATACACATGAATGGACTAAGGAGCATGAAAAAGCATTTGAAAATAACAGGGTGCACCTAAAACATTTACATGGGTAAGTGCTTTGCCTGTGGCTCACTTCACTCATAAATCAGGTTTCAGAAATAGGATATAGACCCAGATACCCAATTAATTTGTCTCACTACCTCCCTATCTCAATAACAGTGTTTTAGCAGGAAAAGAATACAGACTGCAGAAGCAGCCAGCTTTCCATATATTTTTTCACTTGGAAGCTTTGGATACGATAAAGATAAGAGTTTTATTTTTAACCAGGGGATAGTGCATTTCCTGTATTAATGGACCAAATATGTTACTATCCAAAATATCATTTTTGTATTGTTTTAATATGAACAGCAATTCAAGAGTTGGATCCTATACATGTTTACGCAGAAGTAAATCCAGATGAAGTGATGGCAGCAGCAGCAGCAATGCTCTGCATTGTGGGTCTTGACTTTAAATATATTCAGCACCTCAAGTCTTTAAAATTCCAGCTAAAACCTGAGGCCAGTTCACCATCCCACTGACTTGGGAACCACTGGCCACCAGTGGGCAGCAAACTCACTTTGTCCAACGGTAGGGGCCTGGGTTGTACACACCTTTACTTCTGCACTCATCAAGAAGAATACTGCAAGATTCCAGTAATTTTCTGAATTATCTTTGTGCCCACCCCACTTTTTCAAGTAGTGGTTTTGGAATCTTTTTTTAATCTCTGAAGAATTTGCTTAGATATATGCAGAACAATCTGCATCAAGTTGTTAAGATATGCACACCAGGGACATCACTAAAGAGGGAAGGTTTCAGGTCACACCAGATGACACACTAAGGCTTGAACAACACCATTGCTCACCAGACATCTGCCTTTTGGCAGAAGCAGACTGTGGTGTTTGCCTGCGTCCTTTTAAAATGCTGAAGAGATGGAGTAAGTGGGGTGAGACTCAATGGGAGAAGAAAGAATAGGCCCCTGGTTTAAATACATTTTCAATTATATATATTTTAATATATATATATATATATTAAAAATGTTAAATTATTTTTAAAATTTCTTTTAAAAAAATCACATCTTACCAAATTTTTACTTTAACAACATGAAACTATGTACATGGAAATATACTTAGGCTGTGTGTATGATACTGTA